TTTTTTTTTTAAATCATTCTACATTGCTGGTTTTCAACTCTTTCAGGTTTTGGGGTTCCAAAATTATTTTGGTTGATATAAAAGCTCCTATCCACCAAAATTAAGCCTACCAACATTTGCAGCTCCTTTAAAAAGGACTTAGAAAAGGCACTGTTATTTCAAAGCCTTCCTTTTTGAATACTGGCGCTCATGTTAATCAGGATAACATCATTCTTTTGTTTCATTATATGCATTAATTTTTATTAACTTGTGTTTAGTTTCTCTTAAACTCATTTTCTTAAAACCTATTACCATTTCTATTGTGCTGTGATGTCTAAATATCTTTTAAAATTTCATTTTCTTAGAGCCTTCCTTTCATCTCTTGGCTGGTCATTCATTACAAATACTTTGCTTATGTTCAGTGCTTGAGAAGGATGAAGCTTTGATAGTACAGCAGCCACTTGTTTATTTCCAAAACACAGGACAGCTATTATACTGGCTTCCTTCAGTGCTTTTTTTCCCCTCTTTTTCAGGAAATCAATCCCATTCCTACTAACGATAGCAGATTGGTCCTCCTACCTTTTATTTTTTTTTTTTCCTTTGGGCACTCTGGCAAGCCTGCCAAGCACTGCTAATTAGCAGTTGTTAGATTTGAGCTCCAGTCCTGTGCGAAGCTCCATGCAAATGGGCTTGAAGTGATGTCTGTGCGTGCTGTAGGTGCAGTGATTCAGATATCTGTAACACAGTGCAGGGGGATTTCTACAGCTGTGCTTCCAGTAAGGTATAGGTCCAGTAGTTCATTTCACATAGGTCATTTCAGTGATTTGGAGTTTGGATGATGCTATCTTGAGCAAGATTTGAACTGTGTCATTTTGCCTGTCCTTGAATACCTGATTGACTCCAGAAATGTATAACCAGAATAGCATTTTTTGGTAGAGGAACCTACTGTCCTTATAAGAGTCTGCCAGTGTCCTGTGCCAGGAAGTCAAAGACTAATTTCTGCCCGTGGAACAGATGCAATCATAAAGAAGCCCATTTTAGAGGGTCTGTTGAGTGTCACTAAATGACTGTAGAGTGTTTTGAAATATTCATGTGAAAGGGGTGCAGCAGGGCAAAATGAAAGAGGAATAACAGTGCAGGGTGATATCACAGAATCATAGAATCATTAAGGTCAGACAAGACCTCTAAGGTCACCTAGTCCAAATGTCAACCCATCGCCATCATGCCCACTAAATCACATCCTAATATGGAGCAGGCTTTTTGAGCTGGGAGAGGCAGAAAACGTAAAGCATTGTAGCAGGACTTAAACTAACATGAGATGAATATTCATGTAGTGAAATTATTTAAAATATCCAGCTCATTGTTTAGGGCTATCTACACTGATAAATATACTCCCAAAAGTATCAGATCTGTTACTTGAAACCAACACCTTGCTGGCACCACAGTACAGTCACAGCCATCCCTACATTATTATAGGCAGTCCATAAGGCAAGATATCTCCATCAAAGGAGATTTCATTTGAGGTATTCACTAGAAAATGACCACCTTTGGGTCATACTGTAGCACTTCCTTCTTTAATACTGTCTTTCCCTATAACTAAGATGCTATTTATAGGATTGTCCATCCTTTCTTATCCCCACAGGATGGGGATGAGATGACCCAAAGCTCCTTATTTTGGTGACAAGAGGGCATCCTTAGTAGTCCACAAAACATATATGAGGAGAAGTCTTGATAGTGTGGGTGCCAGTTCTAAGCTCTCAGTAAGGATATAGAAGGTGGGATTTGTGTAATTAAATGTGCATGCTGGAAAGTATAGATCTGTGTCTGAGTTGCCACTCTCGATTCCCTGGAGTCAGAGGAGAAAGTGGAAGCTCTGGAGCATGAATCCTTTCAGCCTAAGGAAAACTTCAAAGCAGTAAACTTCTAGAACAATGACAAATCTCACCAAGGGAGCAGAATTTGGTGGTGCATGCATATGGGAGGCATGATGCAGAATAAAGGGATCCTAATGACAGCAAATCACAGGAATGCTGGGCATTTTCAATCTGGAGTAGCTGCAGAACCAGTCTCTGAGCACCTTGATCTAGCTGTGGCATCCCTCTTCACTGCAGAGGAGTTGGGCTAGATGGCCTTTAGAGGTCCCTTCCAACAGTTCTATGATTCTATGACTTACAGTTTATGAAAACCCTCCCCCAGCCACTGTGAGCTTCTGCACACTGCACAGTCACTGGACTTCACTCCTTTCAATTTTAAAAGGAAAGATTCTCCCTAACTTTCCTGTGAGGTACTGCAGAAAAATGACACATTTTACTGAGCCAGATTTCCTCTCCAGGGCACAGATGTTCAGACATGTGGTGCGATGGCCCTCTGGGTTATGAGTGAGATTGTCAGCTAAATGATGCACGTGGAGTTACACCAAGGACAGATTAGCTGTCAGCATCCTGTTGCTTCAGCCTGTCTTCAACCAACTGCTCATTTTCAGTACTGGCCTTAAGGTGTTTTCCAATCTATTCTTGAATGAATACTTACCAAAGGCTTGTTTTCACAACAACAACAACAAAATTGCTCCAAAGCTGAAGATGGCTAACCAGGGACTTGCAAAAGCTCTCAAGAAAACATTTTGCTACCATTTTGGTTTGTCTGTTTTGCAAAGACTTGTGGACTCCCATCCTGTTTTAAGAAAAGAAAGCAGTCATTAGACACACTGTAAGAATCACAATTGGAATACAGTTTTTTTTCTCCCTGTTTTGATATTCAGTGGTGAGGGCCGCTCACTCTTCTCATCTATTAATAGCCACGCTTGCTGCTTCCTTATTGATATTCACTCTTGTTTCTGCAATAGAATTTATTAAAAATAAGCATGTTGAGAAGTTGCTTTCAAGCTACAGAACTGACAGATCATCTGTTACTTTGCTTATTCCTCTGATCTCTTTCAGGTGACCAGTGATAGAACTGAAGGGAATGGCATGAAGCTGCAACAGGGAAGGGTCAGGTTGGGTGTTAGGAAAAGGTTATTCACCTTTTCCCGTGGTGGCTGGGCATGGAACAGGCTCCCCAGGGCAGTGGTCATGGCACCGAACTTGCCAGAGTTCAAGGAGCATCTGGACAATGCTTTCAGACACATGGTCTGATTTTTGGGTGGTGCTGTGTGGAGCCATGAGTTGGATTTGACGATCCCTATGGGTCCCTTCCAACTTGGGATATTCTATGTTCTTTATGCACCAAGAAGTAGTGTTTACACAGGCTTTAGTTACGTGTCCATACCTAGAGAGATGCTGTACACCGTGTGCACATACTATGTGACTGGTGTCGGACCTTCCATTTACAGACCTCAAAGCACTCTGTGGAGGAACACAGATGTTTCTACCTCTTAGAATGGGATGAAGCTGGGGTTGGAAGGTGATGTGGTTTGTTTAAAACAGGTGAGGAAGGAAGGGAATTGATGTCTTAGATTTGCAATATAGCACTTCATTGGTGGACTGCAATATATGCCTTCCATATTGGCATCATTTTTAAAACAAACCATCTTTCTTTCTCTGGAAATTCTAACTCAGTTGTTAAACTTCATCATTTAAAGCCCAGATATTGCTAGTATTAAAATAATAATAATGACAAATGTTTTGAAAGCATGAAAACCTGATCCTGGTGGTAGCTACAGAGGAACTTTGTTGAAAGCATTGGGATAAGGCTGTTGTTTGCAGGCCATAGTTTTAAGAAACAGTGAATTTAGGTTTAAGATGTCTGGTACCAGGTCACAAAGGCTGTGACACGAAGCCCAATGCAATTGATCTAGTGTGAGCTCACTCTTCCAGGCCAGAGATGTAACAAGCCCTTAATCTGATGTGTGAAGTTTCACTGGCAGGCTTTGTGTGGGATCAGGGGCTGATTGTCCGCACCACTCTCATTTCAAGCCAGACATGTTTCATCTGTCTTTCTACAGCCAGCATCTAATAGACATAATCTATGCATTAGGTCCTCCAGTTAATTTGAAAGACAAACAATGGGGTGACCACAGCTGATCTGACTCGGATCAGTGCTGCTGTCTGATCTCAGGGGAGAATGAATCACTCTCTACAGTGACCTGAAAGGAGGTTTTAGTGAGATGGAGGTTGGCCTCTTCTCCCAAGTATCAATGACAGGGTAAGAGGGAATGGCCTCAAGCTGCCCCAGAGGATGTTTAGGTTGGATATTAGGAAACATTTCTTCTCAGCAAGAGTGGTGCTGCAGTGGCACAGGCTGCCCAGGGAGGTGGTGGAGTCATCGTCCCTGAAGGTATTCAGTGACTGTGTGGATGTGGCACTGAGGGACGTGGGCAGTGGACATGGTGAGAATGGGCTGGTGTTGAACTAGATGATCTTGGAGGTATTTTCCAATGATTATATAATTCTATGATCAATAGCACTGGCATCTCAGCCTGAGGTGCACCGGCCCCAGCTCAGCGCTGTGGTCCTTGCACGGGGACGGGAGCAGGCAGTGGTTCTCTTGCAGCTCCCTGGCAGCCAGCACTGCTCCTGCAGTCTCCTGGACCGCATCTCCTGTTCTATTTTTAACATCGCCGCGGTGCCGCGGTCGTCACCACTACCCGCTGAGCCAAGTGAGAGGGCTCCCATCGCTCCGCATCCCCACCTCATTCCGGGCCGCCGGACGAGACCGAACCCGACAGGCCGCTGTCATCTTGAAGAGCGCAGGGGAGGGACCGCGCTGTGGGGGCGGGGGTGCCGGCCCCGCGCGCAGAGGAGGACACCGGCAGCTTCCCGGGAGCCGCCGCACAGACGCGCGCTCCCGCCCGCCCCAATCGCCGCCCCGGCCTCCTGCGGGGCCGCCGCAGGGCCGGGGGAGGCGAGAGCGGCGGCGGAGCCGGAGGCGCGACTGCGGCGGGGCGGCGCTCGGCGGCCCCATCTCCGCCCGCATCCCCGTCCCCATCCTCAGGTCGGCGGTGCCGGTGCCGCCCCTCGGCCGCGCCCGCCCCCTCGCTGCCTCGGCGGCGCGGCGACGCGGTGCGCGGCAGAGCCGGCGGGGCTATGGCTGCGGAGGAGGTGCTGCAGGGCGCGGACCATTACAAGAGCGAGATCGAGCGGCTGACCCGGGAGCTCTCCGAGACGACCCACGAGAAGATCCAGGCGGCGGAATATGGGCTGGTGGTGCTGGAGGAGAAGCTCACCCTCAAGCAGCAGTACGACGAGCTGGAGGCGGAGTATGACGGCCTCAAGCAGGAGCTGGAGCAGCTGAAGGAGGTGAGCCGGCCCGGGCTTTTGTCTCTCCCCGCCGGCTGCGGGGCGCTGCGGGGCTGCCCACGCGTGTCCGTGACGGGGGAGCCCCGCTCCGGCCCCTCTCGGGTGGGCGAGCCGACGTGCGGGCCACGGAAGCTGCGGGGAGGGGAGCGGGGCTCGGCTGTAGTCGGGGCTAAAGACGGAGCCCCGGCTCGTGGCGGCAGACATCTGCGCCCCGGGGGGAGCTCGGGGCACGGCTGCGTCGGCTGCGGATGCTGAGAAGGGGAAATTAAACCGCGCGGAGCCGAGCGCTGAGCTAACGCTCGGACGTGGGAGCCGTGTAAACAGCTGTCTGCAGTGCCTGGGAAGGGAGACGATTCCTTCTGAAGTTATTTATAGGCTGGTTTCGTTCCGGCAGCCAGGGGAATCGCTGCCATCCGGGCAGAGAAAGTAGTCTTGAGGTCACCCCCACTCAGTGGAAATTAAAGTTCTGCGTCATGCTGAAAGGAGAAATGTTTGATATGAGGACTGGTTGGAGTTGGGCTTCCAAATGTGGTTTTGTAGCATCCAGAGCACACGGTAGGTGAGTGCTATACGGCACCTTTTGGCTCTGTTGGACATGACTGAGATATCATCACTCCTCTTGTGTTCATCATGAAGGGAAATAACCTGAGGTTGAGGCTGTGCACACACATGGGATCCCAGAAGGGGTATGTGCGAGCATTTACAGCACTGATAGCCCTACACTGCAGAGTGCTGCTGCGTGGTATTAGAATGTAAAGGATTCCCTCTTTCAAATAGGGAAGGGAAAGTACTGAACAGATTATTTTCCCCCAGATTTAAAAGGAATGTTTTGTTCTGCAAAAACATCTCACTGTATATAACATGCAGAAATTCTCTTCACTCAGTAATCAGGACCACATTCTGTATGTGGAGGGAATTGAGGGAAATCACTCAATGAATTTAGATCAGATACAAGTATTCTTTAGACCATCAGCTTTGCTGCACTTCTGGAAACATTTTAAATAAAATGAAGGTTTCACTTTACTTGCAGGTAAATATGTTATGCTACAGGTTTACCCCATGGACCACAAGAATTTAAAAATTATGTGTTAAAGAAGAAGAAAGCTAATTTTCAGAAAAACCTATTCAACTTGATAACTGCCTCCCTATCTCTGCTGAGTCTATGCAGTAGGCTTGGGACTTTGAAATCAATAGTCCACGGATGGAGATATGCAACTGGCAGGGACATGAAGGCACTAATGGAATGGATGACACATCGGTGCACATGGCCACAGGTAGAAGGGGTAGTACAGGGAACTGAGAGTGAACTCAGAAGCTAGAGGGATTAGTCAACATGGTTAATTGAAATCAAAGATGGGCACAAATTCTCTTCCTGTTTACTTCCCCTTGAAGTCAATGGGATTGTGTGCTCTGCAGCTGTCCCACAGGGCTGTGCCTTCATGCTGTGCCAAGCGCAGCATGGATATGGAGATATCCATGGAAAAGGGAAGAGCAAAATTCTTGTAGCTTGCCTGATGCCAAGCCAGAGAGCAGCTACTCCTGTTTCCAGGTCAGTGTGTGGGCTTTCAGTTCCAGAGTTCTCCATCACTGCAGATGGGGCATTTGTCCTCCCTGTATTCTCCAGAAGATTTGTTCTTTCTTGATAGGAGAAACTGCACTGATTCTTGTCACACATGCAGCCCTGCAATGGAGAATTTGCTCATATCCCTTCCTGTCACTATAAAGTATTTTCTAATCTTCTCTGTTAACACCAACTTTATGACTGTTCTTTAAGTGCAGATCAGATTCCTGTCTGTGAGCAGAAGCAAATGATGCCTATGATGACATTAGTGAGGCAGGATTTGGTCTGAGCTGGTTTGGGCAACTGTGTTGTGGAGGTTTGGGGATGCAGATTTTTGGGTTGTAGGGTTCTGTCTGAAAGCTCTCAAGTAAATTGACAGAAGCAACCCAAAGCCAGCTTTTTTATTAAGGATTCTTTCAGAATGTGTGGAGAAAGTCTATGTGTGTTATCTCCAGCTGGCACTGCAGGTGATACCCCAGGCTGTGGCCTGCAAATGGGGACATCAGAGCACTGTGACTGCATAGGAGCCAGCAACTTGCCTCGTATAGTCACAATCCTCACTGTGAGGATTTGTACTTCCACCCTGGCTTCTCTACATCTACAGCATCTCTGAAGTCAAAATGAAGTGTGGAAGTTGTGGATGCCCAGAGAACCTGTGGTGCCCCATGCCTGGAGGCATTCAAGCCCTGGTTGGATGGGGCCCTGGGCAGCCTGAGCTGCTGGATGGCAGCCCTGCCCACGGCTGGAAGTTGGAACTAGATAGGATTTATGGTCCCCTCCAACCCCAAACATTCTGTGATTCTATGAAATGAGGTCTCAAGTGTGTACTGAAACAAATGGCTCATCCATTCAAGAGAAACAGTAGGTGCGATGGTGTGGGCAGAACTATGGTTCAGGCTATTAGCTCTTCTTGTGCAGACTTTCTCTGAACAGATTCATTTACCAGAGTCAAATCTTATCCTATTTTTTTATTGAGGCAAGTCTTCATTTTTACATTATTTTATTATTAGATTCTTGTGTTCTGTTCTAAGGAGCTCATTGTATTTGTTGCTTCCTGTCTTTTCTTACTTTGCCATGGCTTAGACATCTAGGGTCTGAAGTCTTCTTCTCCATTCCTTTGCAGTTCAAAACTCAAGTGTACTTCAGTGGGGCTTTTTCCATATAGGCTGCAATATAGAACTACAGCTATACCATAATTTCCATTGCTGGAGAGTGAGATGGGAACATAAGAGCATTATAGAATGTGAAAGCAAATTGCAATACATTACATCAAATATTAATTTTGTATACAGAATATATGCTACCCACCATGCAACATGAATTGTTCTAGTAACCTCTGCTGTTTCTTGTTGTTTGTTCTCATGTTTCTCCTTTAGCCTAAGATTTGGATGTTTTGGGGCTGAAATTTTCAACAGTGACTTAGCAAGGGCTTCTTCCAAAACAGAGCAGTTATTACATGTGTAAGCTGTTCAGAAAAGATGCAAAACATCTATCAGCTATTAACCTCATGTTTTTTAAAATGAAATGAACAGTAGGAATGTGGAAAGGTTCATTGCGTTGTGTTGACTATAGCAGCCTTCAGTGTTATGAGATGGAGCAGTGGTGGTCTAGTGGTCCTGCAGTCAAACAAGATTGTTGGACTAATGTTGAAAAAGGCATTCTTATTTTAAAGCTTCATTATTTTCTGCAGACTTATTTATTTATTCTTCATTTTTCACTCTGACAATGAAGTTTCTATGCCTTGTTTAATTATATCTCAAGCTGGTGGTATTTTGTCTCTGCAGTAAAAATGCTGTAGTTTTAGAGTTCTCGTTCAAAACGTTTTTTAGCAAATGTGCCTTTTAAACATGCAGTTAATAAGAGTTCAGAGAGAAATAGTCATGTGCATAAAAGGTAACCTGCTTTACTGGGGTGGGGATTTTATTACCAGCATATTTTGTGGAAACCATTTTTCAGCATTTTTCATATTTGTATTTATATTGCATTTGCTATAAGTACAATCTCTGCTGTTAGTTTTTTATTCTTTTAATGACGTGTAGAAAGTCTTCATGGCTTTGCTGGGCAACCTGCTTAGCTGCCCTGCTTGAGCGAGGGGCTGGACAAGATGATCTTCCAACCTCAGCCATCCTGTGCTTCTATGATTAGTTGCTGTGTAGAAGGGGCCTGAAATATTTTTAGAGGGGAGAAATATCAGTCACCTACAGTCATGATACAATGGGATTGAAAGCAGCTTTGGTGGCCAACTCTATGAGGCATTTAGGCCTGGGAAATCCTAAGCAGAGATTTCTTTTTGGAAATCAAATTATGGACATAGCAGCTAAACAGATGCTGAAGGGTCTCTCCTTGACTCCCTGTCTGACTAATTTAAGCAGTTTCTTAGCTTCTTGGGTTTTATACATTTTATTCTAGGGGATCAAACTTCTCTGGAATATGGATAGAGCTGGCTATCTGATTTTTAGGTTGTGGGGGCAGGCTGTGGTCCCTAGTATTTGAAACCCAAGTATTCTTGGTAAAGTATTGGAAACTGGACTAGTGGTAAGCGGGGCTGTCTTTTGCAGATCATAAATTTGTATTTTCCTTACCTCACAGAGGTGTTGCATCAATGGCTATTAAGTCCTTAGTTTAGTAATGTGGCTTCCACAAATAATTCTTTGTTTGTGACTGGAAATAGCCTTGGGCGAGTAGAGCTGAAGGTGTGTCTAGCAGCTTCTGTGCTGTTCTGCTCTTCCCTGCACCACTTTCATGACCCAAACTCCATCTCCTCACTCTCCTGACACAGTGCTGCCTCAACTAACTGACTCTTCTCCAAAGCCCTCTGCTTGCAGTTTCTTCTCTGCCTTCAGTGAGGCTTTCTGGATCTGAAGAACAGCAGAAGGGAGGCTCCTTGTCCCAGAAACAGCCCTGTTAAATGGGTGATCCCTCCACACACCTGTTTGCTGCACAGGATGCTTAGGAAAGCGCAGAGCGGCTCGTAAATCCCAATGGGATGTTCTGAATTCAACCCAGAGATGAACATGTCCCAAATATGTAACTTAGGAGCTGTGAACTGATGCCATCTCAATATATATTTTGGCAACAGCGTACGTGGAATGAGGCTGAGCATTCCCAACACATCACCCTCATCTCAGCCCTTTGGAGCCTGCTCACACAGTGCCACCCACAAGGGCACAGTGAAGTCAGACAAAGCTTTGGGTGCTCCTCCAGCTCTTCATCCATTACTCCGTGCTTTGCTTCTAAGCACAGGCCTGCAACGAAATGGCCTGAGTTCAGCAGAGGACTGCAAGAGCAGTGAGGAGAGACTGAGGGAGCAGGGCCTGCTCAGCCTGGAGGAGAGAGGGCTCTGAGGAACCCTGCAGCAACTTGCCCAGTCCTGCGAGGGCATTCCTGACAAGACAGAGCCAGCCTCTTCACAGCAGGGTGCAGCAGGGGGACAAGAGAA